TTTTGTACCACTGTTGCAACACAGTGATACAAAATGTCTGTGCTTGTTTGTCTGTGCCTCAAAATATTTCAAACCCAAAAGTATGGAAGTTAAGAAGCCAAATTTTTGTCAGTAAAATCGCACGTGTAGCCTTGAAAATGAATCAACTGAAAATGAATCAACTCTCTGCTCCTGACTTTGATTTCGATCCAAATTCCAGCAGATTTTATAACTATGTGATTTGAATTGTCAGAAATAAAATTTGCAGCAGCAAATGACGCAAAACAACTAAAAGTCGATCTTCGAGTCCTCGCACACTCTGATCTTTAACTTTATATCATATCCAGAAAAATTTTATAATTTAGCAACCAATACGCCAAAAACTCCGGTAGTTAAGTTGCTGAGTTACCGCAAAGACGAAATCAACTCACATCTCCTTCAACTCATCTTTCCCCGCCCTTTGCTATCTTCTAAGAGTTTTAGTACTAATTTCAGCAAAAATACACCGCTGAAATTTGGGAATGTATTCCCAGGAACAGAACCACTTGAAGCAAATGTCTCAGGAAGTGTACCACTTGTTACGTGCAACAGTGCTGGTAAAGCAAGCATAGTGCACTGCCTGGAAGAATTTGCTTTCTCTTGTGAAACTGTGTAGTACTCTGCCCGTTACCCTTCCGACGGAACAATTAACGGAACTGCTTTTTTGCACCATCTGCCGTAGAACTGAGTAAATCTGTAAATCCCAAAACCAATGTATCCCAATATTTCTGGATAGTACAAAATTACCGGTTGTTGAGAAATTTCGGCACAAACAGCACGCACAATAGATTTTAGCGTTTTCTGTTCGCTTTCACTACGATCGATCACAATGCGTTGTCCATCCTCTGCCCAGCCAATGTGTACAACGTGTCTGAAAATCCAGAAATTTGCTGAGCGTTTGAAGTGAATTTGAATATAACGCTGGAACTGAATAGGAATAATATAATAAATCATAAAAGTAAACATAAGCAGTAACAAAACTAGAAATTTTTCAAAGCAAACACATTTAGTTCATTGTTGGGTCGAACAGCAAAGCCAAAATTACATTTGAATAAGTAACGCTTAGTAGTAGCATAGTAATTTCGTAAATTTTTTCAAAAAACGAGTCTTTCTTCCCGGAAAAGCCGATTTTCCCCTCCCCATCTCCTCATTCCTCCGCCTTTTCTTTCTTCCTCATGCCTCCCCCCTCCCGTCCTCCTCTACTTCAGCTCTTCGTAGCTAATCCGTAGTAATAATATCGCAGTGACATGTCGGCAACGATGAAGCGCATCCAAAATTTTTTGAGAGTAGAACTTCTGTTCTAGCGCATTCGCGAAGAAAACTAAGCGGGACTAGCTCAGGATGTTAAAGCATATTACAGGCATATCCGAGTATCAAGAAAAGAGTTGTCTTCAGCATACTTTTTATAAGAAGTACGTAACTAGTGCATGAAAACTTGACCCGTCTGACAACTAGTAAGAACAACTTTAAGTAATATCATATCGCAGGATAGAGATATTGTTTTTGCGAATTCAACAATTTTTGACTGACTTAAAACAGTATGCACAGCCATCGGTTATGCAGTGAAAATTTTTTGCCTGAAAGAAGTATATTCCTCCCGTAATCGCTCCTCTCCGACATTGTCTTTACTTACAAACAAGAATTCCCGAAGCTCTATCCACTATGCTACTGATGGACAGTGGATCAAGGA